TGCTGGTCAGGAAAGGAGCTTAAATAGTTTTTACGTGAAATGTTTAGGAAATAATTTAAAAATGAAATGGCAAGATATGGTCTTGGGTACAAAAGTGATCAAAAGAGCTCGCATTCGGTCACTATTTCTCATCCTGCGGTCTCGGGGTCTCAGGTGACTTGGGCACGTTGCGCGCATGGATAACTCCAGAATTTCCAAACGGATACCGTATAGGGAACTGAGAGCACGCGTAACGTTGGAGGACCCAACCTTCCCTGATTTGGACACGTTGCGCGCATGGATAGCTCCAGATTTCCCAAATAGATACCGTATGGGGAACTGCCAGAGTGTACGTGTAACGTTGGATGTATCAAGATCCCCTGTTTTGGGCATGTTACGCCTAAATATAACTCTAGAATTCCCAAATAGATACCGTATGGGGAACTGCCTGAGGGTACGTGTAACGTTGGACGTATTAAGCTTCCCTGTCTTGGGCATGTCACACGCATGGATAACTTCAGAATTCCCAAATAGATACCGTATGGGGAACTGCCTGAAGGTACGTGTAAGGTTATACGTATCAAGCTTCCCTGACTTGGAGACGTTGCGTGAATGGATAACTCCAGAATTCTCAAATAGATACCGTATAGGGAATTGCCTGAGGGCACGCGTAACGTTGGACGACCCAAGCTACGTCTTAAGGTCCATTGTGAAAGGCATTGATGGAAGTTTTATCAGTGTTGTGAACTAGGATGCGGATGCCCAGGATCGAGAGGCGGAGGGAGATGCTATTTTTGAGTCCAGTGCGCCGTAGAAGCTACACAAAAACGCATATATCCCTCGGTGGATGACCTCAAAATATTCTACTATTTTGGTCGTTGTCAAAAAACGTCCCGATCATACATTGGTTATTTTAGCCATGAACGACGCTGAGTTTAGGATAATTTATTTTCCGCTGCCGACCGTCGCCATCGACGAATAAGGCCTATATATATATATGTTGGGAAATGAACTATATATATATATATATATATATATATATATATATATAAAAAAAAAATATATACGGAAAAAATAACAAAATCCTTATATACAATTATGCTGTTTTAATGTTAATATGTCAACATCGGACGTTTTATAAGATTAAACCATTTTCAGGGCATATTCATAAATTATAACATTATCAATCAACATGTCAAAGTTGATGTACATAAAAACATAATTATCCATAAATAACTGAAGATGGTTTATAAGATTCAGAAATTTCCGACGATGACATATTAACATTAAAACAGCATAATTGTATATAAGGATTTTGTTGGTTTTTTCCGTACATATTTTTTCTTCATACTGTCGGATTTATATCCATATATTTGCTTATATATATATATATATATATATATATATATATATATATATATTATATATATATATATATATATATATATATATATATATATATATATATATATAGTTCATCTCCCAATAGGTGCTATTGATTTGTTGCCTTACGCTATAATAGGATAAATCTAGTGAATATTACTAACAAGAGCCAGCTCCCCCTGTAGCCGGGTTTATTTTCAGAGAGAAAACCAGAATTTTGATATTCAAGGTGATCTGTTTCATCCCCCGGAAGATTACTGGGAACACAAAGTTCCTGCCTTCATTTTCACATATTAATGAGGATAGCGGCTCAGACTGGGGAATCGGAGTGCCAAGTTTGAATTCCAGTCGAGTTCATTACATCACTTACGTGTTAATACCCTTGCGAAAGGTATGAATCCATCTCTTCTCTCCTCCACTATGGGTAAATAGCAGAACAGTTTGGTTCCTATAGCCTAGGTTGGTGACACGTCTAAGTCAAGGAAAACTCTGAATTCAATCCAGCCTGGAGAGGTCTGGATTCCGTCAGGCAATCTTGCCCAGGATACACGCCTGCTGTCAGGGTTGCAGTACATATGGTGCCTTTATGACTCTAATGGTTTACGGGTCTTATGATCGTGATTGTATTGGATAGAATTATATACAAAGAAAGAATAAAATATCCCAAAAGAGAAACATTCGTTCTCTTCGCGAACCCAGCAAAGAAAAGAAAAGAAAAACAACAATAATAAAAAAAAAAAAAAAAAAACAAATAAGTAAAGAAACAAAAGAAGAAGAAAAAAACAATATAGACGAAAAAGCTGAAAAGAAACAAAATAGAGAAAAAAGAAACAGAAAAGTGAAAAAAAAAAACAACAAAAAAGTAACAATACAGAAATAAAAAAGTAACAATACAGAAAATTGGTTTCTTCTTTTTCAATTTTTTTTTTTTGGAAAGAAAGAAATTTTCATCTGAATAAGAATTCATTCCTATTCAGAAGTTTCTTTAAAATGTTATCAATTTATTTTATTCATATAAATTCTTAGAATCATTATTCAACGATGAAAGCATTTTCTTGGCTTTTTCTAACTTTACGTCACATTTCATCTGAATTGTGTATTCCATTATAAGACAAAAATTTCACTATTTATTCTCTGTATTGGAAGAAATATTCGATATGTTAATTTCTTGGAAAATCTAAACAGAAAAGTTCTATTTTACAGAGCCGAAAAACTGTACTGTTTTGGACTCTAAAACTGTTTTGGACTCTAAAACTGTTTTGGACTCTAAAACTGTTTTGGACTCTAAAACTGTTTTGGACTCTAAAACTGAAACGTCTACAGAATCCACTGCACGCAGAACAATCTATTATCATTGGATGCTGCGCCACATGTGTAATATAAATGCAGGTTATGTTGTGCAATAAGATATTCGTCAACCTCTTTGCCTAGGAAATATTTTTATGTTCCAATATGTCATTCAAACAAGTCTATTGCTCATTCTAGCTTTGAACATTAAACGTTATTCCTGCTCCTAACAATTCGTAACAAAAAATTCATTTTCATTTGTATTCGGACTAATCTCCCTATCTATGTTGTTATTACCAAAACGTTTCGCCGGTTGTGTTCATCGTCCTTCTGCGGGTGTCTGTCGATCTTGGTAATCATCCCGGGATTTCGAAATAAACTCTTTCATTAAACAACGAGGGTAGATTTTTATTGTTCTTCTTGCAAAGGGTTCAGTTTGAAATTCCCCGAAGGTTGGCCGGGTCGATAGGCACCTGAAGAAAGCCGGGAGATACAACGGCCGAAACGTCGTCATTGATTGATTTGATAAACGCCATGTCACAATGTTTGAAGAAGACAAAGTGTAGGCATCTGTGAAAATAATTTTCTCATAACTGGCAGTGGCAACTAACTTCTTAAGCATTATACCAACATGGACTACACAAAAGAAAGTATCAATACAAGCTGTTGCTTCCATAATCAACCTTGACTATGGTATTTACTAAACTTAGCCACGCATGTAAATCTTATGAGGATATGACCATACAGGCCTTTGTGAAGTCTAAGGCACTAGCAACAAAAGCTGTTACCTCCATAATCAACCCCGACACCGGTATTTACTAAACTTAGCCACGCATGTAAATCTTATGAGGATATGACCATACAGGCCTTTGTGAAGTCTAAGGCAATAGCAACAAAAGCTGTTACCTCCATAATCAACCCCGACACCGGTATTTACTAAACTTAGCCACGCATGTAAATCTTATGAGGATATGACCATACAGGCCTTTGTGAAGTCTAAGGCAATAGCAACAAATGCTGTTACCTCCATAATCAACCCCGACACCGGTATTTACTAAACTTAGCCACGCATGTAAATCTTATGAGGATATAACCATACAGGCCTTTGTGAAGTCTAAGGCAATAGCAACAAATGCTGTTACCTCCATAATCAACCCCGACACCGGTATTTACTAAACTTAGCCACGCATGTAAATCTTATGAGGATATAACCATACAGGCCTTTGTGAAGTCTAAGGCAATAGCAACAAATGCTGTTACCTCCATAATCAACCTTGACACCGGTATTAACTGAACTTAGCCACGTATGTAAATCTTATCAGGATATGACCTCACAGGCCTTTGTGAAGTATCTATACTTCATCTCTTTGTATCTATATTTCATCGCCCGACCGTGATTCTGTTTTTTGTGCAGTTCACGGAAAACCTTTGAAGGATACTTGGTCGTGGGTATCCCAAACCAGCGGCAGTACCTTCCCTATCTCAGTAAAAGAGGATCGTCGAAATACGGATGCAAGCTAGCGTCCGTATTTCGAAATTCCTCTTTGATCGTTTCGTGATCGCGGTGTCTGGACAACTTAACGTTTTAAACGACTTTGTGTCACATCTTGCTATCATTGGGAAGCAAATAAATAACCTAGCCTTTTGGGTTGGGATAGGGGTTTCTCAAGCCAGAAGTATTTTCGCCTTCAAGTGAGATAGAAAGCCGTGCTCTGTCTACGGAAAAGACCCAACAAAACACGAAGCGAGCGTGCTTCTGGGGATGACAACACTGTATCAGTACCTTGCTCATTTCACATAATCGAGACGGTTGTCAAAATCTGGGGTCTGCGTAACGCTATTTGCGGTTACTGGACACTCTTTTTGTGTTACCCTCATTTACCTGTGGATCTCCACTTTTAAACCGACCATGTGTCACCGCTGTCCTTCGTCAGGTAAATTTATTTACTGTGTTCAGAAATACAGTTGTGGCATAAGGCCGAAAAGAGTGGTAGGAAAAGTTGGGCGTCACTATCCTACACCAAACTAATCTGATTCACGGACCATTCGTTCTTACCCTTTGCCATGTAAATATCGGATCGGACCCACAACTTTTTGGAAACCGACTTGGTAAGCATTACACTGCCATGGACCACATATATTCACAAGGTGTGGCCAATATCAGAAGAATGAGATAGTTTTGGCGTCATAATATACAAAGACGCACCATGAGAAATGACTAATGGAAGAGTCTATTACAATAATCGTGTAGTCACTAAAACACTCTCAGCCCCCAGGAGCTTGAGAAATTTATGCATATAATTCAATGAAAAAGTCATTCAGCCAATGGGTTTTGTTGAGAATTTTAGCTTATGGCCGTCGCCATTTCTCTGTTTAACGCTAGCCTTTTGTTCATCCTGACATTTTCGTTGTCACACATTTCTGGAAGAAAACCCCAGTGGCCCGCAGGAATGACAGAGTTTCCGATAATACCTGGTCGGCCATTGAAAATATTTTCTCCTTGCGTCGAAGCTGCTGACACCTTGCAAGAATTTGACTGGCCGGAGTTCACAGCTTCTTCCATATCCCGTCGTGTAAACACGTCTGCCTACATTCCTTCCTCTACTTCTTCCCGGGGGCCATCTTCTGTGCTTCTTAAAAGACTAAGGACCCCTGGATCTCCCAGTGGCGAAATTCCAAATTTTCTTTCCACCGACGGGCCTCTTGACAGCTTTATGCCTAAAAAATCGATTATCTTCACCAGTTCCTGCTGTTTTGGTATGAGCTCCACCGCCGTTCTTATAATCGCACTTATAGCCGTGATTGTATTTCTGTGTTTAGTACATACGATTTTGTCAGCAATTCGTCTCGGAAAATCGCTGAAACTGGCCCCAAAATGCCATTGTCCAACTGTACAGTCGCACTCGTCGAATAAAAATGCCAACGAAACGAAACCAGCTATTTTAAGAGTTTAGAAAACCGTTTTTAAAATTATTCCGTTTAAATGTTATTTTTCAAGATGACTGAAGAATCGGTATCCACTTTTCAGTCTGTCCATACTGGATCTGTCATTGATGTACGGATTTTTTTTTTTTTTATGAAAGTATTTTTCAAGGAAAAAATCCTTTGATAGTACACAGTTACCTTACAATTGTGTCACAAGTTAAAAGATATACATGTACGAAACTTCCAAATGTAACCTAAATATTGCTTCCAGTGAAACTTTCTGCTGAAGACAATTCTTGTGTATAATCTTATAACGAAGAGGGAAAGATTTTTTTTATGCATTTTACATGTATATAAATTCAGTTTTAATCTTTTTTTTTATACTGTATAAACTCCTAATTTTCCGTTTTGTTTAATACTGTTTCACTTGATTTATGAGCATTTTTAATTGAAAGAAAAAAAATCAAATTACGCCCCATTTGTTAGCCTTTAAAAGTTCTAGTTGCTTAGGCTTATATATATATATATATATATATATATATATATATATATTTCCTAAGCCTAGCTTTCTTGTTGAACAACGAAATATTGAACCATTTTTCGGTAACTGATGTTTCTGTATTTTCTAT